CGCCACCGCTCCCGCCCCGCCCCGCCCCGTACCGCCCCCAACACACACGCATGCATAACACATGAGGGGGCGGTCAGGCCGGCCGCAGCCGCGCACCAGAAGGCTTAATAAGAATGCTCGCACGGCGGCGGCGGCGGCCGTGGCGGCGCGGGCAAATTTAAAATTTACGGAAGGCGAAACAAACAAGCAAGTGTGCGGTGGGGGGCCTTCCGCTGCTGCTGCTGCTGCTGCTGCGGCTGCTGCTGCGGCTGCTGCTGCTGCTGTTGGTCCTACGGCGCCGCCGTGCAGAGGGAGAGAGAGGTAGAAAACAAGTTTGAAAATAACGGAAAATGGAGGAGAAGAAGAAGATGGAGGAAGGGACGTAAAGCATCAAGCGAAAGTGTAATTATGTCGACATGTCACGTATATTCCCTTTCCCCCCTTTTTTTTGCGGGAAAATGAGACGCATGTTGTAATGACGCCGCTATCTTCCTGGTCTCTGGTCGTAGCGCAAAATGAAATAAAAGGGAAAGGTAAAATTGTCACCGGGCTGGGAGAGAGTCCCCTGCACGTTGGCGAATCCGACCAATTCGCACACATTCGCCATCATAGTCCAGTGCCGGGTTTACGTCCGACGTTTGCGCGGGGCCAATATTGTCACCGCCTTTTGTTTTTGCGACCCGCTCATTGGCGCGTTTTTGTGTCATTCGTTCCTGCAAACAAGTTGTTAATGAAAAGCTTTCCTCTGTCGTCGACAATGTTGTTGTTTTTTTTTTTAAATTTCTCTTATTCTTGGAGTTGTTTTATTTCTGTTCCTTGTATTTTTTCCCGCGCTGGCAGAAGCAGCAGCCGCATACAACGAGCCATACAGCAACATGCGCGCGACCTCGGCTGAACCGAGATGTACAAACAGCCCTGAGGGCGAGGGCTGCGGGATCCCCCCCACCTATGTACTCTCGCTGTGTGTGTGTGTGTGTGTGTATGTGTGTGTGTGTGTGTGTGTGTGTGAAGGTGGGTTTGTGTGTGGAGGTGTAGGTGGGTTTGTGTGCGCGGGAGGGTACCAGCAGGCCACTCTTACTCTACCAATCAAAATGACGCGACATTTCGAGCAAACAATGAAAAAAGTAAATGTGTGACACGAAATCTCTCTCTGCGTCACTAGAAAAGCAAGTATATGTAAATGAATTTCGCCCACGCGTAGGTGAGTGAAAACAATTCACGCACAACAATGGAAAGTTGTTACACCCATCACATGGTTATATCATGTGATTCAGGTTGGGCCGTAATGTGATGCTGGAGACAACATTAAAATGAGGTCTGAAATATGATTCTGATAACTGTATGATAGTTAATGTTGGGACCATACAATGGTTCTCTCTGAGGTAACCATACGATGGTTGCTAGAGCTCTCCATATCTGGTGTGAGCGACATTCGTACACAGAGATTTCTAGTTGCGTCTATTGTGTGGAAATTGCCGCGCTTATGGGCGTGTCACAAATTTTCTTTCTTTGGAAATTGCCTCGCTTGTGCGTGGGACGTGACGGCCCCTGGATCAAACAAGCAGGCCCGCCCTTCCGCCAAACGGAGTTGCCAGCTCCACTTCGCTGCGCCGGCAACTCCGTTCGGCAGGGGCCGGGCCTGCTTGGCCTGCCGGCGGCGATGGTCGGGCCTTCGGCCCGACCATTTCAGTCTCGCGATTTACTGAAGTGCATAATCAAATAAATAATGT